ATTGCCGAAGCCTACTATGAAGCTAGTCGCGTAAAAGAGGTCGCCCACGCTCTTCTGCTGCAGGTACTGTTAAGATCGTGCAGGATGAAGGAAACTTGGAAGCTGCCCATGGCGAGTTGAGCTAGCGCCTGTCACGCCAAGCCCCCGTTGTTTTCGAGGCCTGAGGCCTTCCGTCCGGCCCCACATGCGCGTCACGGCCATGCACCTCGCCTCGTCGGATTTGCCTTCGAAGTCGCGTCTTCTCCTTGACACATCACTACAACATGCGCCCGATGCCAGGGCATGCTCGAGAGGGATTCGCCATCGTGTGGGCTGCCTTTACATCCGTGTCTGCGGCGAATTGAGAATCTGCACCAGGGCGAGTGGCCCCTACCCATTGCATAGTTTCTTAATGTCCCATCCAGTATTGGAAACAGTCGACAAACCCCCCAGCCACTGTCCGGATAAGCCCGGGAAGGCTTTCGCATATCAAGCCAAATCAGCACGCATCGCACGACCATACGCATCGACAAAACATCGTCGAGTCCGAGGCCCTGGTCCACGTCCAAGAAGGCCACCCTACGGCGCCAGCATCATCAATATTATAGCCACTCAACATGTGTAAAGGTGTTTGTATATCTCAATGGGTCACTCGATGGGCTTACAAGTCAGTGCCCCAGCCTCCCCGTTCATGCAAAGCGTTGTAATGGGCCATGATTGCCATGGTCAAATCAAACACATTACATACAGGACCGTCAAGCTTCTATAGATCACTACTTGTTAAGACACCGATGTTCATATAACGACTCCATCAGGATAAATCGTCCGGATTTCCGAATCATGAAGACTCCTGCGCTCTTTCCAGCGCTTGAGCAACCCGCATGCGCGAGGCGTCCAGCCAGGAAACGCGGTAATCGCCGTGAACCCGCTCATCTAGGCTAATCATGGTCAGTTTCACATACCAGTGACTCTGAAGAATCACCCGATGTCGGACGGTTTTTGACTTTGCGAGATTGGGATTATGCATTCGCTGTCGGAACAGAGAATGGTCGTCTTGGGCGTGCGAATCGATCCTGTTCAAGCTCGTCTTCAAAGGGATGTGGTCATTGGCGATACCTTGGTCATGGCATCTGCGCTCGGCGCTGGAATGAATGTTACTCATCAACGTTCCGCACACATACTGTAGCGCGAACTTCATCGAAAATGTACGTATGAAGCGTTCGCTCGTGATCATGCATTTTACAAGTCTACAGGTCGATCACTAATCTCCATATTCACCGGCATCGGCTTAGACGACTACTTACTTTCCGATGCGATGTCTCGAATGAGCCTGCGTACTTCATCGTCGTTCATTCGTTCCACTCCCAACAGCTTGTTGTCATCCAACTGCTCCCAGCGTAGCGCAGGGACTGTTCCTGCAGACCATCGAATCATATCACCGATGACCTCCATGTCGATCTTCCCCGCCATCATGGCCTCAGTCGCGGCCTTGAGCTTTTGATCCATGTCTTGGCTCGACTCCTCCCAGCCATCGCTACCCAGGGTCTCCTTCGCCAGTGCTACCATCTGCTTTTGACTCTTGATCACGCTCGAGATGTAGAAGGAGCGGTTCTCGGTCTCCTCAGCCTTCTTTAGTACGTTGGCGACGGCAGTACTGATCGAAGAAAGCATCGTCCAAGCCATCGGAAGCATTCCATCGTTCATGTATTGAACCTTCTTGCTGCGAATGTCGATGTTGATGAATCCAGTCCGCAGGTTCCAATCAAGGAACGCTCCATTGGATATGGTGGTGTACGTGATCTTGCCTTTCGCGGCCAGATCCTTGATGTGCTGGTAAGCCTGATTCTTCCCGTGGTGGAAGAGCGGCGATCTCGCTACGGGGTCCTCAGGGTCAACGCTGAACTCGCCCATCACTATACGATACACTCCCGCGCAGACAGCAGCTTCGATGATTCGTCCCTGGAGAGTCGGATCGGGCCCAGATGTCGTATCCACGATAGCATCGTGGCCGCGAAGGGCTTCGGCAATTGTCGCGACTGAGTCAGTGTCAACGACCTTGACTGACACGCCAGCAGGAAACTTCTGCCCTTCCTTACGAGCAATAACGGTAACAGTTAATTTGGCTTCAAGAAGACCCTTCAAGACTTCAGCTCCAAGACTGCCGGTCGCCTGTACCATGTTAGTAGATCATCTTCTCCCCGTGCTCGTAGCTATGAACCTACGCCTGCAATTGCGACATTCGTAATCTTACTGGACATGACTGGTGCGCTTGGTGTCGATCTTATGGAGGGTATCGTTTGATAGTGTGGTGGTGGTGTAGACGATTCTGCTGTTCTGGTGGCTTGATGAGGTCTTTCCTGGTTCTGAGAAGCAGGCTCTGGCGATAGCTATATAGGTACATCATGTCGACATGGAAGACTAGGTGAAGTCAACCAAACGTGCGCAGATACCTAGTCATCCTAGATTCGTCCGGATTGCAAAGCATGGCATCAACAGCTTCGCGTTTTCGGTCATAACTCAGTCAGCCTCAAGTTAAGAGTGCCACGATATGTCCGGTACGCTGGTCGTGCGACGGGACGGCAGGGGCCATACTTCCGTTCCGTCACATCTCTCGCGGCCCTGTCTGGATGACACCTAGAAATCGCCTACGTCATGAAATCTCAGCCGCTAAATCAAGGTGCTATCTCGGGCAGAAGACCTAGCGCAGAAGGGCGGGGTTCTAGAGAGTCCCCGAGCCCTGGAGATGTCTGTTAGGTAAACGCCGACTAAAGCAAGCTAGACCTCGGCACAAGCGCCAACGTCGGCGAAGGACAACGATCATACAGTTTATATCAAGGTGTGGTTTTTCTTTCGCGCGACAGACACAAAGCGCTAATCAGAGCTCACTCGTACCAAGAAATTGAAATTGATAGCTACCTAGGTAATCAACCGGCAACTGATCAGAAGCGACATCACTCCCAGGATTCCTGAGACTACTCTACTACTACTACATCAAGCAATGGAGTAAGCATCTGCTTTCCAGATTTAGCTGCCATGGCTAACCAGAACAGGAATAGCCATGCCTCGAACGGTGAAGCCCCATATTATGACCTAGGAGAATACAGACGAGATGCTCAAACGACATCTCACGAAGCGCAAGCATGGTTCGCCCGTGGTCTTGTGTGGTGCTACTCATTCAACCATGAAGCAGCCATGCAGTGTTTTGAGGCGGCGACTGTGCATGATGCGAGTTGCGCATTAGCCCACTGGGGTATTGCTTACGCTGTTGGCCCGAACTACAACAAGTCATGGCGCATGTTCACACCGGAAGATCGCACAAATTCCATCGAAAAGATACTTCGCGCCTTGTCGCAAGCCAATGACGTCGCGGCCGCTGCCTCGCCCGTGGAGAAAGCACTCATCACGGCCCTCAATGCTCGCTTCCCAAAGAGTAACACAGATGTTCCAAACGACCTATCGGCGTTCAATTACGCCTATGCAAAAACTATGCGCTCGGTCTACGAAGAGTACGGGGAGGATCTCGACGTGGTCGCACTATTCGCCGATGCCGTCATGTGCACTCGTCCGCGTCAGCTCTGGGACCTCAACACCGGGAAGACTACAGGCACAGATGTGGACGAGGCAAGAGCCGCTCTGGAGAGGGGCTTGGCACGTTCCGATGGTCTCAAACATCCGGGTCTGTGTCATCTGTACATCCACATGATGGAGATGTCGCCTTTCCCAGAAGTGGCTTTGCCCGCGGCTGACAGTCTGCGACGACTTGTACCTGATGGCTCTCACATGCAACACATGGCCACACACATCGACACAGCCTGTGGTGACTACCGTCGCTCTGTCGATTCGAACTTTGACGCTATACGTGCGGACGACAAATACTTCGGGAGTGGGGCCAAAGCAGCTCTCATCTACAACGCGTATCGATCGCATAACATCCACGCTATGGCCTACTCTGCCATGATGTCTGGTCGGTCTCGGGACGCTCTCTATGCTGCGACACGGATGTCTGAAGTATTGACTCTGGAGTTCATGTCGATCAAAACGCCACGAATGGTAGACTGGACCGAGTGGCAACTTGTAACGCTGCCTCACGTGTTGATTAGATTTGGTCGCTGGGAGGAGATTCTCGAGCTCCCGGAGCCGGTAGATCCGGTTTTACTCTGCGTCTACAAAGCGACAATCCATTATGCCAAAGGGATTGCTTTCGCAGTACTTGGGAGGATAGATGAGGCAAGCCAGGCAAGAGACGCTTTCGAAAAGACCCGTCAGTCCGTACCGGAGGACCGTATGTACAGTCCCTCCTCTCCAGCAGAACCCATTCTAGCTGTAGCGTCGGCCATGCTGGAGGGCGAGTTGGAGTATCGCAAGGGTAATCACTCTCAGGCATTCTCCGTCTTACGACACGGCATTAAGTTGGAGGATAACCTCGCCTACGCTGATCCGCCACTCTGGATGCAACCCGTTCGCCACGCTCTGAGCGCACTCCTTCTGGAGCAAGGCCAGTCTGAGGAAGCCGAACTGCTTTATCTAGAAGACTTGGGATACAGTGATAGCCAGCCTCGTCGGAAAGCGCGCATCAACAACGTTTGGGGACTACATGGTCTTTATGAATGTTTCATGCGGAATGGAAAGCAGGAAAAGGCCAAGAGCATACGCCTCCAGCGTGACATTGCCGTGGCTTCCGCTGACATTTCCATCGAGTCCTCATGTTTTTGTCGACTGTCAGCGTCAAGCAGTGAGCAAAGCTGTCATTCTACATAGATAGCAACTTGCCGGATCGGATGAGTGGAACACTGATGCTATTTCTGTTCCTTTCGTCGATAAATCTATGGCGTGGCGCTGTCAACATCAAACTTCGGTTCTCAATCGCTTGGCATGCGTGAAACATATGCAAATACTGCTCTACGATGTTTATGATCACGACGTAAGACTTCATGCAGATTTAATGGCACAGATTAATAACAGCATTCCAGTAGGCTTTCTTTATAGTGATTGAATCCGACACCGTCATCCATCTTCGACAATCACTTTCCGTCCAAGAACTGCAGCTCCTCGGCTGTAGAAGTGCGACCCAACACCTCGTTCCGCTGCGGGAAGCGCCCAAACCGACGAAGTGCGTCCAGCTTGCTTTCACAGATGCTAGTAATAACACCCTTCAGCTTCCCAAAATCGCTCCTTCGTTTGAGAAGCACGTCGCGGTACTGGGCGAATTTACCGTCCCATCCCTCGACATCCCTCTCTAGCAGCCTCTCATAGTCACGGAACATGTCAAAGTGTGCTTTGTGTAACGATTCTGCTACTGCCAGGCTCTCGCAATGTTCCATCGGCATGTAAAACCAGAATCTGTATGCCAGTCGGAAGCGAACTTCTGAATCCATGGGGGCACCGGAGTCAATCGCTTTGGAAGCCACTTCCAAAGCCAGACTGTCGAAAACGGTGAAGGCTACACGAGCTTGAGCACCTCGGAAGCAGTTTCTTGGGAGTTGGTCAAGCAATATGATCAGACTGATCCAGTGCATAGGCTTGCATGGCTTTGCTGCTGCTATGATTTCCGCTCCGTTTGGTTCTACGACCTGAATGAGTTCGAGCAATGCGCCAAATTTATCCCTGTGGCTAAGTAAGCTTTTGTTCGCGGGAAAGTATCTAGGATAAGCTGAGTACTTACATGCATTCCTGGTCGTAAGCATCATTCTGTGAGAACCATGGCGCCGAGTCCTCGATGCTAGGGCTGATGATGTGGTCGTGGTCTTGGAGATGACGAAACCAAAAGGCTGAGATCTCATCCAGTTTAGCGTGCGACAGGTCGTTTTCGAGAGATAGCTGCGACATGTCTTCAGGGTGATGGCTGCAAGAGTTGTGAAGTAGCTTGGTCGTATGAAGATGTGTGGGGTGGGAAGGCATTTCGGGTATTCTCAACAGACACGTACTTTACTCAGTCCATGACCTATTGCACGACGCGTGATGCCAAGCTGATATGTCAACACAGTTCGACTACATTCGTCCGCTGCCGTAGAACTCGTCCGAAATTGCAAGAGGTCGTCTTGGCTTCTATCGGTGTTCGCTGCGGACTTAACCATCTTTCAAGGTCATGTTTAGATCTAGTCGGCCCGTTTACCGGCACCGCTAAGACGAACGTACTTCCGTTCCGTACTGCTAACTGGGTACGCTACATTACCGTTTCTGGAGTCTGTCGACAGATTTGGTAATACTAGACTTGCGACTACGGGTGTTGCCGTCCCCGACTTCGTAAGCAGACTGTCCCAAAGTCGACTTGTTGACTTTCAAACTCTACTCCACGACCAGAGACCCCGGATTTACCACCAGAGTACGAAATACTACATCACGCGCGGTTCATCGAATGAGCCACGCTCGTATCATAAGTAATCGCGATCCACTGCGTTTGCTGGGCATTAGTCAAGGCCTGCGCGAACGAGGAGAAGGTTCGTCCGCTTCATCGACGCGAGACGCGAGACGAAGAGTAGCATGAAAGTCTGTTAGAGAAATGAACTATGCGTAGGAGCGCAGGCTCAGTATATAGATCGTTGCAATGACATCCTTTGTGTCCATCACATCTCTTCTCAATCTTCTGCTTGCACTACGTACCAACCTCGATCGGCTTTCTCTTTCAATCAGCTCGAACAAAATGCTATCAACCCGAGCATTCTCAGCTCTGGTGGTGGGCTTCCTGTCATCCAGCTCGTTGGCTTTACGAACACGTCAGTCCGAGGTACCTACAGACCTTGTACAGCGTGGTCTCGTAGCCATTGGCATCAACTCCAACACGTCCGATGTGCGCAATGTGAGGATCAGTGGCTCTCAATTCCGCACCAAGTCTATCGTCACAACGATAGCCCTGGATGGCATGGACCAAACAGTCGTCCCATATGGTAGCCAGACGATCACGTATTCGTACGAGACAGGCAGTCTGAAGCAGCGCATTGACAAGGTTTCTGGCTTAGGGAGTAAGTCTTCTCTCTTGATACCGTTTGATTGGAAGCTGACTTTGAGATCCTAGCTCTTTGGATGTTCGCCCGACCTGAACTCGAACCTATGGACTACTCTGTAGTAGTACAAGGTGGTGATGACGCGTTTGCTGCTGTGGTCAGGGGAAGCTATGCGCTTTTTGACCCAACGGCTGCTCCAGAAGGCTACTTGGATGGTACTACGTCCACTGAGATATTTGTATCAAAGTCTGACGATCAATAGGATATCTCGCGGCGTATATGATCTCCGATGGTCAAAAGTGGGATCCGTTGCTGCTAAGCAAGATCTCTGCAAATGACTCCACTCTCCGATTCGAGCCGGTGGAAGGGGGCTTACTACTCCCAGCAGGTTGGTCATCACTTACCGTTCTTGCTATAACCTTTCTAACCTGAGTGTAGTGTTTGACCAAGCACTGAACATGTCAATCATCTTCAACCCCGACACTTACCTACCCTTCGCTATCCGCACATACGAAGACCATCCCTTTTTCGGTCCTTCGACGAACGATCTCCGAGTATACGACTTTATCTCGGTTAACGGCCTCATGATACCCCGTCATTACAAGACCATATACAACAACCAGCGCTTATGCATCGACTTCCTTGCAGACGAAATATCGGTCAACACTGAAGTCGAGCCATCGTTCTTCGATGTCTCAGCCGAACGCGGCGAACTGAGCATTCCCGTTGTTGACCCAGCCCTGACTGCTGAGATCGGTGAGAAGTACACGAATTACATCTGGTTCGGTCGGAACAACTTCACAGTCGAGTCGCTCAGTGGATCGCAACCGTACGCAGATCTACCCGGCGTCTGGGTCGTCCGACCACCTGGTGTATCCGCGTACCGCCAGATCCTGCTTGAAACTGACACCTATGTTGCCGTTCTGGATGCTCCTGCTGAAATCGTGGCGGTCTTGCTCGAATGGGTCAGGATCAACATTGGAAAGCCAGTGTCGCAGGTGTGGGTAAGTCAGCGATCTTAATCCGCCTAATTACTACTCTGATGAGCTTTCCTAACATTGCATAGCCTACGCATCATCATCACGACCACGCTTTCGGTGTCAAGGGCTACGTCCAGAACGGAGCGGAAATCGTCTGTCCTAAGATGGCTGAGTCGTACTACGCCGATATCCCCGGCGCCAAGTTCGAAACCTTTGAGTACGTTATCGTCTATGCCCACCACCAGGCCAAGCGCTAATTTGCTCTAGACGCGGAGCGCCGCACATCATGGAGACCAACGGTTTCAGGGCCACGTTCATCCACATTGAAGGCAGCATTCATGCCCAAGACCATAGTGTCGCCGTTATTATGCCTGCTTGTCCTACCGAGGACAGCACAGTCGTTGTCTTTGATGCCGATCATGTCACCCAAGCGCAGTTGATGGCAACACACAACGACCATAACGAGATTGCTCAACTGGTCAACGCTATGGTGAAGCACCGGGTAGCGAAGTCAGCGGTGTAAGTTACCAAAATACGCTCCCGAAACGTGGTCACTAATTCTCGGTACGCAGTCTAGTCTCTGTTCACGGTGACTTGGCCAACATGACTGATGTCTATGACGGGATTGGTTACTTGTTTCCCGACTATACGCCATTTGACTTTGAGTACCGCGGCGACAATTGTACCGTTTGATGAGGAAAGCGAGGGAGGCGACTGCGACTACCTTGCAACGTCGCCTTCTTTGCCTGTGCAATCAGCTGTGCGAGTAGCTACGTCGTCCAATGCAGCAATGGAAGGTCATGTCGAGAAGGTGTCGCCTTTGAGCAGACAGGGTGGTTGTATTGATTGAATCTGGGCCATTACTGCCGAGAGGGATAGGCTCTGAGACTAAGTGAGAGGACGCCTTGATACTTAGAATCTGTCGCGGTGAGGTATCCGCATGGAAGCATGAGCGATGGAGGAATAACATGCCAGGTGTTCGGTCGCTACTCAAGCAAGCTTCTAAACTCCACTGCGTGGCACTTCGCATGTAGTTCGGTGCTCTCGTGATATGTCTTATCTCAATCTTCCAGTCTTGGATCCTTTCTATTCCTCTCGCTCATTCTTTCACTCATCTGTGTGATCTCCTCGGACGCGTTACTCTCAATCTTCTGAGATCTTTGATCCAACTACAGATATGTCAGTAAATGACTGCGATAGGATTACCGTAATACTCACCCAATGAACAGCCGCAGTCACGCCAAAGAACGCAAAGACGACCACGATCATCGCGATATACCCTTTCTTCCAGTACGGCGCATCGCTTGCTGGATAGAGTGCAATACCCCAGAAAGTGTACAATATCGACTGCACCATACTCATGATGTATAGCGTGACCGATCGAGAAGCGTCATCACCACTGCGTTGAGAGATCACGCTAGCCCATCCGTAGAGAATGGGGTTGACGATGTACGAGGTACCGGCCAAGTAGAATGCGAAGAAAGTTCCAGCGGTCGGAAGATTGGGTATCAACAACAGGATTGAGACTAGAAGCTGCAGAGCGCCAGCTAGTATAACCATCGGTATGCGGCGATTAGTCATGTCGATAACGTAGCCGGCCCCAACGTTGGAGACAATAGAAACGGCCTGTATGCCTAACGGGTAGGTCGTGGTCGCATACGAGGAGAGTTTCTCGCTGTTTGCTTTCATCCAGAGCAAGAACAGACCTTGCAGAACGATGGCTTCCAATGCGCAGGCTACTACTGAGTAGAGAGTAAAGATGTAAATGTCCGGTTTGGCTAACAGTCTCTTAACAAGGGATTTGAGACTGATGTCATGGCTCCAATCTTTCTTCGGTGGCAGGCGACCTATTGCTAGCTGAATTTCCTCTTTGCTGAGATAGGGGGCATCTGTAGACTCCGGCAAGTTGGGGAAGAACATGAGTCCGAAGATGCCGAAGGGGATTCCCATTGCACCGTCTGAAAGCGATTAGTGGCGATGGTCTACCTCAAGAGGTGGACGTACTGATAATAAACACCCATTGCCATCCTTGAAGCGAAGTCTGACCATGCAGACTCTCGTTCATCGCGGTCATCATCACACCAGCGAACATGCTGCCAATCTGCCCAATAGCCGTAAAGATGGCTGTACGTTTGGCGATTTCCAAAGGCTTATACCAGCTACCAAGGATATAGATGGTGCCGCTATAGAGACTTGATTCGAAGAAGCCCTGGAAGAATCGAACTACGCATAGCTGGGTGTAGGTCTTGCATGCCGCAGAGCACATCGTTAGGCCGGACCACACTAGCAGTGTGAAGGGCAGCCAGAACCGGGGCGCGACTTTCTGAAGGATGAGGGCATGGGGTATTTGACCAACACAGCTGCCCGCAGTAAACATGGCAAGCAGAATGCTGTATTGGTCGCCCTCAAGTCCGAGAGACTCCTTCAATCCAGACACGTAGGCATTGGCGAAAGCGCTGCGATCAAGGTAGTTGAAAAAGTATGCAGCGCAGCAATACACCTGGAACATCATTAACTGCCGTTATGTCAAAGGCATTTTCTTCCCACCAGTATAAAGCAATCTGCTGTTGGTTAGATGCGCAACGTGGAGATCTGACGGGTGGTTCCGACGTACCGAGCTTGCGAACCAGTCGCCTTTCGAGATCTAACATGTTGTCTAAGCGTGTGTAACCAGACCGATCATGGTGAGAGCGAAGCATAGCTATTGCATTCATCTGAACTCATGCAGGGACAGCGCGATGTGGAGGTCATGGTGACGGTACCTTGCTGGCCACAGACGAGCCAATCATGTCGCCGATTTTGCTAAGCATGAGCAAGTTTCCGTTATCGTAAGAGAGGGTCCTTCGGCAGCCAAGTCGCAAAATCTCGGGGGCGACTATCGTGACCTGTTGCCCACGCTTGCCTG